GTATTTTCTTAGATAATATCTTAGTGAAGCTATTTCATAGACAGAAATAATATCTTTGCAATCAAATGAAACAGAAAATTCCCTTCAATAAATATATTTAGAATAAATGTAGAAAGCAATACCATCTGCAACCTTCCCCAGGCCCAGCCAAAATTTATAAATCAATAACTGAAGACACCATGTACCCTGAGAAGAATCTGAGCACAGCGGCTCAGTGATGTCAGATGTGCTGCTACTTCGGAGGACCTGATGCTGTCCCACCACGAGATGATCAGATTCCAATGCAGGTGCATTTTCTGATTGTTGACATTCCTCCACTTCTGTGAGCATTAACACAAAACATGCAATGTTATATTTCAAGACTTTTAAACATTTCACAAATTAAAACACCTGATTTAAAAATTAAGTTTCAGATGCTTCTTCACAAAAAAATTTTACAGTAAGATAACCTGCATTTATATCATCAAATTTCTTATACTTGTTAACACTAACACTCCACACCAACAATACTTTTTCATCTGTTTTGGGGGTGGGGGTAAGGGGTGGTACTGAGCTTTGAACTCAGGGCTTCAACCTTGCTAGGCAGGCGGCTCTACCACTTGAATCACTCCACTAGTCTCTACATTTTTATCTTAAGTTGTACTCAGCCCTTTATTTTTCAATCAAAATGAAGAGGGCAAGAGGAAAGAAAGCCAGAAAAATTGCTGAGAGCTCTAAGTCATCTGAAATTTCAGGGGCAGGAGGGAAAGAAAGCAATCCAGAGGATGCACAGACCATTTACATGTTAGGAGAGTACAAAGTGAAACACACACACACACACACACACACACACACAATGGAAGATGAAAGAAAACACAGAAATTTCAACTATGTTACTCCTTTTAACAGATAAATGCACAAAATAAAATGCTACTTGATGACTTATTTAGTAGCTTATTATCTCCACGTACACTGCTGAACAAGTACAAAAATGATCCACTGGTATTTTTGGAGAATCAATATACATGTGACATAAAATAGAAAACTATAGATAAGTACCGACCTTTTGGATAATCTCAGCTAGTATGTTTATCACCTATATTCTCCTGGAGGATGAGTTCCCTCCTGGTTCATTTCTAAAGTACAATTCGTCTTAACCTTTAAAGAACACCCAAGAAATAATTGCTGCACCCTCTCCCTTACACTCATAGCTTTGGGGGTACATCATCTTTTGTCTAGGTCATTTTAATACTCTGCTAATTAGTCATGGTCTCCCTCCTTTTGCCACCTGGCATCTATTCTCTACATGGCCACCACTATAAAACAAAGAGTTGATCATGACACTCCACTTAAACCCACTGAGGTCCTTTTTCATCAAAGTCAAACCTGTGCTCATAGGGTGAATGGATCTCACCCCAAACACAGATTCCCCTTGAGGAGCTCCCCATCTCTTAGTCCGCAATACTGACCCACTTGCACCTACTGCTTTCTTCCTCCTGCTATTCACTTCCCTAGGCTACCTTAGCCCTGCTTCCTCGCCCCCTTTCATTGTGCTGCCCTGAGCACATCCCTCTGTATGTTTTGCTATGTGGCCAACATGTAAACCACATTGCTCAAACTTTTCCTCACTAGACTCCACACTCATTGACACAGTCATAAAAATTTACATCCACATAACCATGACATAACATTTTTCAAAACTCTTAACCAGTTAAGATTACACTATTTCTAAGAAGAGACTAGTCAAAACTCAGCTTGTATTATCTTACCTGGCTGTGTTACCCAGTTCTTCATTTGAAATGGAGACTCACTGTCAATGGGCTACCCTCTGGGTAGCCCTGTAATCTGAGCCATAAACCAAACAAAGTCGCATGCCAACTAAGAAGTTATACATGATGACTTATTGCTCTATTTTTTCTAGCTAAATGAAAATTCCATTTTATCATACATTGATACAGTTTTAAGGTCTAAAAACTAAAATTTGATTAATCCTTCACTTATGATTCAAAGTTCTAGACCACAGTTTAAATCTGGATACTGATGGGAAGCTGATCTTGAAGTATAAGAAAAGATAGGCTAAGGTAACAAGAAGAGACAAAACTCATTAAAATTTCATCTTTCCCAGGTTATCTTTGCCTCCCTGTTCTCCTGAATAGCAAGAACTGTTCATTCTTACAAAGGATATATGGATATGTGCACATTTTTCATTTACCAACACATCCCAAAGCACAGATCTCCTTTTTCACAGGTCTCCTTCTAGTGTCTTTAAAATTAGTCAACCCAAGCCAGCTAACACTATGGGGCTAGCCCTTCATTGTTTACAGGATGCTGAAACTTTCTGGGAAGAGATCATGCTTGTTAATGAATCTACCTGTTAATCCAATATCAGCAGAAGAAGCCCAAGAGTTTTCTGACTTCCTGAAAAACAATTGGCTAGTGCCCATTTTCATAGATAGTGGAAATAGTGGGTTTTATTCTCTTAAACCTGATGCCAAAAAGTGGTAGATGCTGGTTTCTGGGCTACAAGCAGAAGCAAATAAGAGCCAAACCAACCAGAAGCAAATAAGAGCCAAACCAACCCTGGCAGCATCTTTCTAAAGATAAAGAACATCGCCATCTGGTGGGAAGCAGTACAGCCACAGCACCATTTCTTCCAAATTAGTGTTCCCACTGGTCCTCAACACAACAGACGGCCGAAGAGCCTGCTACCACCAGCTGGTCTGCCTTCCCAACAAGCAGGCCTAGTGCAGCTTTTAAGGCTTTGTTTTTGCAAAACTGTCAGGAGGGACTTCTCAGATGGAGTAAGTCCAAGCCCATAGAAATAACCAGAAATAGTGGGGGTGGGAGCATCTGTGAGCTACTTCTATAGTCAACTGTAAAAATGAGACAGGATGTGTAGGTAGTGGCAGGTGTGTGTGTGATTTTCAATTATTCTTATACCACAATTCAAACCCAATTTGCTGATTTGTAAATGTATATTTCTTGATATTTTTTAATACTTTGCACTAAGTATGTACTCAATACAGTCTTTGTATAAATGGACAAGAGAATAACAAAACATTTTCTTGGTACCCCCCCACACAATTGGTTTTTTGTTATTGTTGTTGTTTTAACAGTTCTTGGGCTCCCTCTTCTGGCATTTTACTTGCTGAGAAAGTAATTTATGTTACAGTTGCTCTCATTCTTAGGTGTTAGCTGTAGCAGTTGCTCTTTCACAACAAATAAAAATTATTTTAACACAATATGAAAATATCAAGATACAGGATTGCCTGATATTCAAAGAAAAAAAGTAACAACCTGAATCGAACAAAAATCGTGTTATATATCTTACAGCTAATCCATCCCATTTTCAATGTTCTACACTTTGTTTGAATCACTTCCAAGACCTGAATTCTGTCTTAGATTCACAAGCTCATTTACACTCTCTAAAGCATAACTAATCCCAACAGCCCATATTTTAAAACCACTAACTTTCTTATCTCTTAATGGTATAAGTTAAACAATTTCAGTACTAAACCACTGCTTTCCAAAAGTCCATTCAAAACACCAGAAAAATGACCAAATAAAGATTACTTAATTGCTTCTCTGAGATCAGAGGCAGAATGATTAAGTTAAACTAAGTGTACAAACTCTTCAATAACTTCTATTTTCTCCAGCTGTTTGGACTATTTTTAAAAGCAATTTCACTCACTCTTTAATCTAAGACTTCCTTAACCAATCTTATTAACTGAATGGAGTGAGGTTCATTCTTCAATACCCAAAACTCAGGGTCTCACTCTTTAATCTAAGACTTCCTTAATCAATCTTATTAAATAGAGTGATGCTCATTCTTTGATACCCAAAACTCATGGTCCCATTTACCTCTTGTACAAAGTTGTATAAACAAAGTGAAGAGTGTAATTTCCTAATTTTTAAAACATTTGTGCATGATACCAACTTGGCCTTATATAAAGCATAGGAGATGTATATCCACTCAACACCTTAGGTTTCCCATAAGCTTTCCAAGGGTAAATCAGCTCAGGTCCTGACAAGGAGCACCTCCTCAGATTCTATGGACAAGATACAGAAGCAACTAAGCAAGGCCTCCCCTTAAGTCCCATAAGTATTTTTAGGATGAGGGAAGATGGTTTTTTAATTACTACTATTATAATATTCTCAAAAGAAAAATAAAATCTACTATCTGCACAGCCTGTGATTCCTACAGATTGATAAATGTCTTAATATAAAGAGCAGTTAAAACTGCAAAAACAGTTGGAACTGTTCCGACAAAGGAAAAACAGGAAATCCCCTAAACTACCAGGCCTACTCGCAGGTAATTTTTAAAAATGTAGCTATTCAAGAAACTAAAGCAGATACCTTAAAAGCAACTGAGGCCAATAGGAAAAGGGGACCAGGAACTAGAGAAAAGGTGAGATCAAAAAGAATTAACCTAGAAGGTAACACACACGCACAGGAAATTAATGTGAGTCAACTCCCTGTATAGCTATCCTTATCTCAACCAGCAAAAACCCTTGTTCCTTCCTATTATGGCTTATACTCTCTCTACAACAAAATTAGAAATAAGGGCAAAATAATTTCTGCTGGGTATTGAGGGGGTAGTGGGGAGAGGAAGGGGGCAGAGTGGGTTGTAAGGGAGGGGGTGGGGACAGGGGGGAGAAATGACCCAAGCCTTGTATGCACATATGAATAATTAAAAAAAATATACAGCTATTCATATTAATGGAAACAGATGGTTGTGACTCTCTTCAAATAAAAACACCACTTTTTCCCCCCAAATACAAATAACTCTCCCAAAATTCTGCAGCTGCCAAATAAAGGGTCCCCAAAGGATCATCGATATATTAGTGGCTGAAGGTAATTTTATATCGCTCATATTCTTAAAACAATGTTGGTGGGTTAACCAGTCACATAAACTAGAAACAAAACAAGAAATGTTTCCTTAAGTAGAAATGAAATTAGCAATCATAGATATGGTAATAAATAAATAAATAAATAAATAAATAAATAATACTTCTAGCCAGAAAGTAAAATTAAAAGTATCTGCATGTTATTTAGCAAGACATTAGAAAGATATGTATACATACTTGGATTTAAATTGGAGCACAAATTCAATATTCTAATGTGCCAACCAGTGGAGAATGTGCACTCTGAGACTGAGAGCTGATAAACATTGCCCTTGGCCCAGTCTCTTGATAGTACAGTCTAAAAGGATAATGACATCATTTTAAGTAATAAAGAGCAATTAGCATCAGGAGAAGAAGGAGCTCACTACAGTTGTCAAATGAAACAGAGAGCAGCAGATTCTTCTCAAAGTCACTATACCCTAAGTCTCTTCATCCTTTGTGCTATAAAACTAGGAACAAGAGTAGCAAAGACAATAAAACACAGACTCAGCCTAGTCTGCTTCATTTCACCAGGGTTTTGGGGGTTCACCTCAATAATACTGATGTTTGGGACCTGATAGTTCTTTGTTGCGGGGCTGGCCTGCATAATGTATAACATTTAGCAGCACCCCTAGCTTCTACCTTCTAGATGCCAATAGGTGCCTCACTGTGACAAATGAAAATATCTCCAGACAGTGCTCAAATTGTTTCCAGTTGAAAAAAATCACTGCTCTAAACCATTCAACTTCTGTTGGAAACATGTATACACATACAAGAACCAAGAATCTGAGTAAAACAAAATGTAATACTGAATGAGAACAAGAGTTTCCAAAATGAAATTATTAATAGATACTTTTTGTGAGAACACATTCCATAAAAACTCGTTTAAAAAGTATAGTGAAACAATATGGATTAAAATAGACTGAAAAATAAAACTTTTCAAAATGAAAAAAAAAATCTTTATGTGCGTATATCAGCCAAATTAAGAGAAAAATTATTTTTAAAACTTTAAGAATAACCTCTAAGCAGTAGCATTTTCTGGAAAACCAAATAATCATGCAGTTAATACTCATCAGTATTTCAAATGTACCATAACCACTGTTTTTCACCTTTAGTATTTACTGAAGAGTTTTATAAGACACATTACAGTCCTCAGTCTCAATAAAACTCATTTATTTTGTCATATTCTGTAAATTAAATAATATGGTACTTTAAATACCCATCAGAGGGGTAAGCTTTAATTTTGTTTTGTCAAATCACAATATGACATAATTTAGTGCTATAGAAATCCACAACTAGGCTATCTCAAATATTTTTAAAAAATGCTAGTCTATACGCCAGACTTCTGAAAAAAAAAAATGAAAATATTAACCTTTTTAGTAAGACGATTTAGTTCATCTAAGAATCATTGAAAAATATCTAGACACAGTTGTAATTATCCACTATAGAAAAGTAAATCCATTTGTTGAGGTAACTAGGCCAAAAGTTACTCCAAATCACTTTTGTTACTATAATATCTATTTTTATAACTGAAACACAATAATTGTACATATTTATGTATGTACATGATTTATGTATATAAATATGTATATACTGGGTAACAATCAGATCAAGATAATTAGCATACTTATCACTTTAAACTTTTATCATTTCTTTATGGTGCGTACACTCAAAATACTCTCTTCTAGGTATTTTGAGATGATTATTAACTATTTTCTCAACCTACTGTGACAGGAGCTGCAACATCTGAATAAATCAAGAGCACACTGTATGTAAACCATACATGACTAAATTTAATTTCATTTGGCTGAAGTCCATGAACAAAATGTTTCTTTTGGAAATTAACACTGTTTAGCCTTATTTTTCTTTCCTTCCCCCACCTAAAATCTCAATTATCAGCATGAATCTGGTAATTGGTGAGGTTGTTGGAACTTTTGACTAATTGCTACCAAACATCAACTACAGAAAAACAATTATCAATAGTCTTTGAAATTTAATGCAAGTGCAATGGTCAGACATGCATGTGTGATGTGGGAATATCAACAAAGGAAGCAAGGCTTAGAGGCAAGCAGGAGAAGCTGGAGGACATTGATGGACACAACAGAGTGTGTTACAGTACCTGACAGCCTGTGAGAGCAAGAGGAGTAAGAAAGACCAGGTAAGAGAGCGCTCATGGTGTGAAGAAGGAGCGGGACGCTTTTAGTGGCAGGCAAAGCCTCAGAAAGGTGGACACAGTTGCTGATAGACTGGCTTCGCTTAGCTTCCGGGAGAGATAAAGTAATAATTACATCAAGCACACATTAAGACCTTTCACTACTTTTCATTATTTTCTGGGCTCTCTTTAAACACTTAAAAGTTCATTTTAAACTTTAAAGTATGTCAGTACAAATGACAATATTTAATCATTGTCTTGAAATAGTCAATTTTCAGTCAGCCACTCTGATGAGCAATCCACAGATAACCAATTTTAGTTTGGAATGATTTATGTATTTAGCTTTCCTTTTTCTGCTGTGCATCATAGCCACATTATAGTCAGATATTTTTTCCCTTCTTAAGCCAAGTGAGAGAAGGACAATCTGGCCAAAGACGGAAATTCTCTGTAAGTGATAAATACTTCCGAAGTTGGTTCACTGAGAGTTGACTGTATTCAAAAGCAAACGATTTAGTAAATTAAATATCCTAAAAGCTCAAGAACATGAAAGGTGAACTATTAAAGATTTGGTCTTTGGGAAAAAAAGGTAAAATTTTCATGAAATTTATCTTTTTATATCATATTTCATGATTATGAAATTCATACTTTCTTAGTATCATGTTTATGATGCTCTTCAATTTTCTAAACACTGCTGGTTAAACGAACATTTGAGAAAATGGAGACACAGGAAGAGAACATACTTCATATTCTTATAACCACTTTTATCAAAACTTAAAACAAAAACATAAAGGTTTACTTGCTGTTTTTTAAATCTATCCATATGTACCTTTATTTAACATGAATTAAGAAAAATTACAAATGATAATGGCACTTTTGCAAAAAAGTGAAACAAACTTTTTATTTCACTATCTCTTCCTCTATCCTTTGTCTATTAGAATTCCCAGAAATGTGATTAGTGTGTGTAAGATAGTATGTGACAACTTACATGTAAACGAAACTGACTCACTTAAAATTTCCTGACTTATTCATCTCTCAATATGCCAGAGACTTTTCATTTGAGTGGTTAAAAAGTTTTCCTTTTATAAATCAAATGATTATGCATTTTTTAAAACTCACCATATATTTTAGAAATAAAAAATACTGTATCTTTTATGTGGAAATTATGTGGAAATTTTAGAAACCTGAATTCTTACCATCACTCATGGTCAGGGAAAGAGTTTTCCTTATAAGTATTTAAAATTTTCCTTTCCAGGCCTTTTAAGTTATAATCTGGTATACGCTATTAAACTGTCATTACTCTGCAATTATATTACCTTAGTGCCACCATTAGTGAGGATTTTTGTACCTAAGTGAAATCTGTGTAGGAAATTATTATATAATAATTTTAAACTATTCTTTCACTGTTATTAGGAAAAACAAAGTTGCTTTCAAGTAGATCTTCCATAATAATCATTTATGCTAAAATGGCTACTAATTACTACTAAAAAGTAGTAAAAACTAACTTCATGAGGTGCTGTTATCTCATAAAAAAACAGCCTCCACACAAATCAAACTCTACTATGAAAATATTCTGGACTCTTTTTAAGAGACGAAAAGGTAAGTTATTATACTATATAAAAATAAAACTGAGCAAAATCACTAAAACTTAATCCTTATAGATGAATTTTATAAAATAGCATGATACAATAAAATCTTCAAAAGACATTTGTTTTAATAGGTTAATAAAAGATTTGTAATATTTTATAATTTTAAAAATATAAAAATACAATAGGAAAGGCATCTACATGTATCAACATATGTATATGTCACCCATGAAGATTACAAATTTGTTCAACTGACCATCTTCATTATCTTTCAAAGGTAATGGCTCTAATTTTTTTAAATTTAATTAATCCTACAAATACCAAGCTTATGGTTTTAAAGTACATATTCTATAAATATGTTTATAGGACTTATAAAAGTACTTGTTTTTCCAGTGCCATGGCCTCTCAGATACCTGAGAACACTGATAAAGATAACCTCACTACCATAATTGCTCTAAGTGTTTTCTAAAACATATTAGTGCCTCTACCATATTGTTGGTTTAAAATACCTGCTGAAAATTAAGATGTCACCATTTCTAAGGCTGTTTTAGCTAAGTAGTACTCATGGAACATGAATTTGCTGCTTATTAACATGTGAGAATAAAATTTTTAAAAAGGGTTTTGAATTACCATTTTTATTGTCATTGTAATTCAAAGATAGTAAGAACAGCAGAAAGTTTGGGTAGCTTATGCAAGATGTCATGTCTGCCATAACGTCTGATCTGATCTCTTTCTTTGAAGAATCCAGTGATAAAAGAAAGGACTTTTTAGAAGTTGGAATGAGAAAGGAAATCAGTGAATGAGCATTCTCAAAAGCTACATGTATCAGGAATTGTGTCTCTCCTAAAGGGAGAGAATGAAGACAAAGGAGAAGTAGAATAGGAGGTGTAGGTCAATAAGGTGACAATTACCAGCAAATGCTATAGCAAAAAGAATGAGAATCTTAAAGTTACAGTGTAATATACTTTCATAAAAAATGTCAACAGGATTCTAAACCATCTATATTAGACTTTTAATAAGCACTGTAAAATATGTTAGGCTGGAATGAATCTTAGCGAAATACTTAAATAAATGTTTACCAGTTGCTTTTTGGCGAACAATATTTCTTGCCTTCTCAACTCCTGGGGCTCCAGATGTGGTAGCACTCCTGAATCGCATTGGCTCGGTCACATCCGGGTGGCTCCTCCAGCTGAGAGAAAAGGATCTCCCCACAGTGGTCCCTTTCTGAGAATCTAGAACACAGCCTGATAAAGGATAAGGCAAGAAAATAAAAGTCTAAAGGCTGGATTTATTGTTATTTAATTTGCATCCTATGTTGCTCAGCAAATGACATCTATATACGATATGTAACCAGAAGATTCCCTTATGGGAAATTAGATACCACTTCCTTTTACTGAAATTTAGAAAGCCACAGAGAACTTCCAGCAATCTCCAACAGTTTTATGAAAATTATATCTTAATAGTATTCATTTCAGTACACAAAAGAACATATTAATAAACCTCTCTCAATACAAGGTCAAATGATGTAATACCACCATTACTCCAAAAGTCACTACTTTATAAACCAAAAACTCAGAGACTCTGATGTCAGAACAGCACTACATCTGTAGACTCCAACCCTCCCACAAATGCCCAGAAAAATCTAAAACTATAAATGCTAATGTACATTTGATCAAATAAGCAAGGTAATGAAAATCCAAAAATAATAACAAAAAATCCTATTTTAGAAAAGAATTTCTATTCAGCTTCAACTGTGGAGATAAAAAGATCGCTGCTTAAATGTTAGGAAAACACTGCACTGCACAGTCTTAAATCTAAACTGCGATTAAACGTTCCACTGGGATGCCATGTGCTTAAGCTACTTTGTTTTGACTTCTTACTGATTTTACTAATTAGGGCTTTAACAAGTGCCACTCTCAGGCTACAATGGAGATATGTTAAGAATCTGTCCCATTAATCTTGTTATATGATTAATTAAGCATTGCAACTGGTTCATAACTCTGTATCCATGTCTTCTGTTGTCCTTTCCTAAAATGACTCTGGAGTTTATCATGTGATTTACTTTGGTAGCAAAACTGAACAAACAAAAACTTGAAATGCACTTGAAAATTTGATCTTGCCCTCTTGCTTCTCCTGGAATCCTAAACCATTACATGAACAAGCATATGCCAGCCCTCTGGGTGATAAAACATGTAGTCCAATCCACCCATTGTCCCAGTGGGCAGTCAGCTAACTCCTAGAAACAAAGTCATCAGTGTAGCTGACCATTGTTTGGCCTAGAGGATTGCAACACAGGAGTGAATCCCACAAAGACCAGCAGAAGAACTGACCAAGTATGTGCAAACCAAACTGCCAGTTCATAAAGTGGTAGTCTAAATAAATGATTGTGCTATTCAGCCACTAAGTTTTGGGGTAATTTGTCACATGACAAAAGCTAACTGATACATTCTATCGCATGGTTATTATTGAGGCACAGTGAACAATAATAAGCCATGTGTACACTTGATAAGTCTTTAAAAGAGAAATTCCTTCTAGGTAGGACAGAGGAAGGTTAACATATCACCTAAGGAAGTAGACTGTTTTTATCTTCTGTATTCTGTTTGATATAGCCCTGTAAGACTTAAAAAAAAAAAATCAGATCCAAGCTGGCAAAATGGCTCAAGTGGTAGAGTGCCTGCCTAGAAAGCATGACAGCCTGAGTTCCAACACCATTACCACCAAAAAAAAAGAAAAGAAAAATCAGATCCCAGATTGTCCCCCTCTCATCTCTCTATCAAGAACATGAGCCTCTATGGCATGCAATTTTACATTCTAACCATACCTGTGACTCCTTCCCACTCATTTGCCCTATTTCCTTCTGCACTCGATATACTACATTACATGTATTTCTATTAGCTACCTCAAAGCTTTACAGAATTAGCTGGAGTACAGATGAATTAATCCAAGGACCATGTCATAGTCCTTTAGAACTGTAATAAAGATAGGAAGATGTCCAGTTGTCATTCCCAGTACAAACCCCCACTGTTTTCTACCTCAAAAATAATCATTTTCACTTCCCTAGGTCTCAAAACAATTTTTACCCAGAAATACAACCAAGCTGAAATGCCTCCCATTTCAAGCACTATGAATTACTCTACATTTGTTAGAGAGGCAGTAGAAGGCATTATGTGGCTGATTTAGTTCATTACAAAATTATGTACACTAAGGATTTAGAAGTATAAATATACTCTTCTCCCCAATCCCACACATCTGGTGTCCCGCAAGAGTGGAAATACCTTTGCCTCGTTGCTTCTTTTCTTTTTGTTCACTTAATTTATCCAGAGGTAGGTTTGTCATCTCAACTCCATAAACGGTTCTTGCAAGCACTGCTGTCAAGGAGTCCATGATGTTGGCCCACTCATTGATGAGTTCCTCCCATTCCGTGAGGGAAGACAGCACACCAAGAAAGTCATCCCAGAGCTCCCGAGAAATGTACACACAGAGGTTTGCTCGTATCCAAGCCACAATGAGCGTCTAAAATCAACCAACCAAGAATTCAATTGGGAGAAATACAATTTTTAACAAAATATTTTAAATTATATTAAAAAAGTAAGTTTTAAGATAAAAATACTTTTGGGTGTTGTTTTTCTTGTGATCAACTGTAATCAGGATCTGAGCTACTGTGAGATTAATTATCAGTATGAACAAAGTTACTGATCCAATATTATTGTAGAGTATAAGGCTGGCCCTGGCTATAATCAGGGAAGAGACAAAGCCTCTGTGCAACAACCACTCTGCGTCCTGACATGGCTCTTACCCTAACTCACCACAGTGCCTACTTCAAACATCCTCCTCAGTATATGAACTTCCTGTCCACCATTTCCTCCCTGATTTTTAGCACATGGGCTCATTGTAGACTTCAAAGGTAAGAAAACCCATTAAATGACACTGCCTTCAACCTCAGCCCACAAGACCTATGCTCTTGCCTGCACCTGCCCAACTTCACTTTCAGTTGTGGGCTCTCTTCCAAGAGGGGCTCTTATACTTACTCCCACTTATGCTCTGAACCCCTTCCTTAGAATCTTTGTACTTCTATTAAATCTACCTATATTTACTATCAACCTATCCTACTTCCCCCACTTCTGCACATCAGCATTCTAATACGCTCCAATTCTTCCTCATCTTAAAAAAAACATTTCCCTTGAAGCAGATTCCCCTTTTAGTTACAGGCCTTGACCACCCCTTCCAAAGCCAAACTTCTTGAAAGAATATTCTACATTTACTCCATCTCTTCTTTCTCACTTCCCACTAACCAACTGTTTCAGCTTTTTGCCTACTAGGACCTTTCCACCTTCTGCCTAGATTCTGGTTTCCATTCCCACTGCTTTCCTACCCTCTGAATACTGTGGACTCTGAGTCACCAGAGTCCAGCCCAGATCTCTTTGCTGATTCCCTGCCTATTTATCTGCTTACTAGAGAGCTCAACTTGAACATCCCACAAGCACCTGTCATACAGCATAATAGTGAAAATAATCCAGTATATTCACTGAGATTCTCCCAGTTCTTCAACCTGGTTTCACCTGACATTTACATAAACTCTCAGCTTTGCCTCCTTAAGGTATCACTTCCTCCTAGAAGGTGTCCTGATAAATTCTAGATGTTTTTTAAAAGATAATAAATGCTTTTCAACACAGACACAGGAAAACTTTGAGAAATAGAAGCCAGTCTATAATTAGGCAAGCCTGCTCTGAAAAATCACTTAAAAATCATATTTAAAGTGATCTTTTTGCAATATACCTGTTCAAAAAGGTCAAAATAAGTATACCACAACAAAATATTGATATATGAATAATTTTCAAAATTAAGAACAATGTGGAAAAAAAGGAATAAAATAATTATATTATTTATACTATTTATACTTTATTAAATATTTTTATTATGACTAAAATGTCAGCTTCTGTCTATTCATTTTTACACTCCTATTTTCAAAAGGAGTTTAAGGTCCTTACCATCAAGTGACATATACAACAAAATTAACAGTCTTGATCTAATAAATATTGATTCAATTATAAATATTGGTATACTATTAGATCAGTAAATATGACCTTAGCAGAGTTAAGTGGGGAGAGTAGAAACCAGTAAGTTCACAAGGAGCATTATATTTGGTTACAGCACCAGCTTCAGGATCAAAACCTGATGTCCTATACTAGGAATCTTGTTTTGGCTTCATTTTATTGGCTAATTATAAAATAAGAAATAAGTTAACTTCTTGCAGCTTACAAAATTCATCCTAGGCAATATCACAAACATGTATGCAGACCTACTGAATCATCAGCATAACTTGCAAACAGAGCTTGCACACAGAGCAAAGTTATAAAAGGTATTTGGGGGAGGGGAGAGTAGAGTGACACCTTTGAACACAAATGAAGGGTGCTCTTTTAATCATTTACCCTTTTCTAAAAGAAACAGAGAAAGTGAGAGCCCCAGCTCTAGGCTGTGCCACTAATTGGTATTTGACCTGCAGTAGGTCACTGACCTTTCTGGAGCCACATTTCTCACTACAAATGAAAGAGCTAGATAAGGGCACCTCAAAGTTTTCTCAGCACTGACATTTGGTGTTTTTTCAGATACAGCTTAGCACATGCACTATAAGAAAAAACACTTAGCTTCGTAAATCATTCCTCCTCTTATGCACGTTTGCTAACCAATCACTTCCTCCCTCCTGTTACTGCCCGCACTTAGGGGCACTACTGAATTGTCAAGTAATGGGATCCTACTATAAACAGTAAGACCATAGTTTCCTGATATATCTTCAGTGCTTCAAGCAAGCATAAAGTCTTTAGCTCTGACAACCAAATTAAAACATCATTGAAGACAATCATCATTATATGGTAAATATTTAAAACTGAGTGAAATTCAACTATTATTTGAAAAAAGGTTGCTAGCTTAGATTATCTATGGACAGAGGAAAACAACACTGAGGGAAAATTAGAAAAAAGATAAAAGGATAATGATAGCTTAAAATCTTCTGCTCCCTTCAGTAATCTTTACAAGTATTAAAAAAAAATCAAGAATCTAGCCATTTTATATAGTCCTTGTGACAAATGAATCATAATTAGCTAGCACATTTTAACTGTGCTGTGGCACTAAGATGGCACCCACTTGACAGCCTGCCCATTCTATCCAGACCATTACCATTTTCCCCCTCTCAGATCTCATATAAGGATATGGAGGGTCAACAGATGATTATAAATACAAAACAGATCCATTTCGCATCCATGACAACCCTACAGGGTAGGAAGGAGTCCTCTCTTGATGTGGAAAATCAAGAGAGAGACTCAGAAAAGTGAAGTGTTATGTTCAAGGCCAGATAGCCAGGAAGTGCCAAAGCTGGGATCAGAATTATCATCAAACTCTAAAAAGCTCATCCTTCCTCCACTATTTCATGTTTAGTTCTAACTTTAAGCATTCTTCTTGATCTACTTACTTCCAAAATAGTAACAATGGAATCAAAATCATAAATAACCACAGACCTAAAAATATTCTTCAAGCTTCCTTGACAAGATTTCTCCACTAATGGATGGTTCCCCCCCCACACACACAAAAAAACCCCAACCCCAACAAATAAAAAACAACTACTCCAGAATAGATTCTTATTTAATTCTTTTACAAGTTATCTAATTCCAACACAACACAATAAATCCAGGACAAGACAACTGGTGAGGATGAGGCCCAATACTTAACAGTCTAACACTGACTTTAGTTCTTGTCCACTTGGCAGCCCAGCCTCAGGACTGAGAGCTAGGGTGGGTGCCTACAGTGAGATGCTCCACAGAAAGAAGACTGTCCGTTTTTCAGGCAGGCAGCAAAGCAATGATTAGTACCACTCTTCTAGCAATAGCAAAGCCAGGCAGGACATATGCAAAAAGAATGTGTAGGCTGGGGATGGTGGTGTATACCTGTAATCCCACCACTCAGGAGATGGGGGATGAGGACTGTGAGATAGAGCCTAGCTATATAGCAAGACATTGCCTCAATAAAACAAAAATAATGTGTAGGCCCACTCTACATGTCCACAAACTAGCCAAAGAACTCAGAGTATAAGAGACAGTATTCAGGAGATGAGTATGTGCCAATTATTTCTGTGACCTCTTATTATGCCGAGATCACTGAATCATATTAAATTATTAAAAATTGATGTGAACAGTTGAGTCACTTAGCTTTAAAGAAATAATTGCTCTTTTGATCACCTTCATCTGAATGTTCTATCTGTATTCTACATATGCTCTTAACATTTATCTTCCCAAACTCACCTTCAAGTCAACCATCACTTCAGCTCATGATCCACCATGCTTTTGCCTATTAAATTCAATCTCAGACCCACCCATTGTACTAATGCCTTTATTTGTATAGAATGTCATGTATTTCCAGAGTTCATTCACATGGTTTTCTTTTAGAAATGCCCATAAATTCTATATACCCCATTAATGTTAGCATTGTTGCACTAGGCACTGCCTTCACAACCCTGTGTCACTTCCATTTCCTCAGGCAGTCCATCAGATGTCAGCCTATCATGTTCTTGATCCTCTCATCACAGGAGGTGTAGGAAGCACAGGCATCTCCTTGCTCTCTACTCAGACTGAGGCCTACCCAGCCCTTCTCTATATCCAGGGCTTTACTCCAGTAGTTCTTTTCCTTCTCTCCCAGGCCGTCCTGTCCACCCTCACTGAACCATCACATGGGCAAGCAAAGACACTTTTGTACCACCTGCCCTAAGCCTCAACCTCAACATACGTTGTCCACTCTAGCTATCTTTCCTTTGCTTCCTCCCTTCTCTATCAAGACCTCTTCAAAACTGTGTCCATGCTTGCAACCTCCACTGCCTAGGTCTCATTTTCTCCCTTACCCACTCCAAGCATGTCTTATTTCATTAGGACATTCTTGACTATCTGTATCTTGTCAAAGTGATTGGGTAATTGGCCACTGTCCTTTTCTCCAAGCACCTAGAGCACACTCTTCTGGTTCTCCTCTTAGATCACCACTGGTCACCCTTTCTCAGCATTGCTCGCTGCCTCTCTCTTTTATCAACCTGAGAGAGGCTCTCTTTTCTCCATGGCATGTATTATTTCTTTAGGTGACTCCATCTAGTTCCATGGCTTTACATACAATTGCCTAACACAAAGATGGTTCTCAAATTTTTATTCCAGCCCCATACTTCCATTTTTTCATCCTATGTCTCCCCAGATTTACCTTGCGCTCTACCAAGTTCCTCAGTCCTTGACATTGTCCTAATTTCTATCATCCTTGAGCAAATCAAGAGGAAGTAGATGTAAGAGAGCTAGGAAAACCCCAAAGCCCAGTACTACTTGTAAGGAATAGACCACAACCTTTAGGAAAAAGCTAAGAAGGAAAATCTCTAAAAATTTAAAGTTAATTTAATTTTACTCTTAAAATTCTTAATGATTAAAACTAATTTGCTTAATGTCTGATTCATTTCTTATATTTGCAGTATTTTAATAAAAAAGACTTACCCTAAATAGTAACCCTGCCAAGCTCTGGGCAAACAAGTCCTTTATTTGTTTATCCTTTGGCTTCTGCATGACAGCTTCTGTTATCCTGAGTAGTATTTGCAACATCTGCTCCCTGGGCCACCCAAAATAAAAGCTTATATTAATAACACATCTCCAAAGAACTATGATTTATAGGTATGAGAAATTCTCTTAAGAATTCAGCAACATTGATCACAATGCATTACTTGAAAGTATTAAAACTCTAAATGCTAAAATTACATAACAAATATGTATTATCAGAATGACCTACTTTATGTTACAACAATTCTAAAAATATGCCTCCCACATCCACCAATAGGCAGGATAAAACCAGTATCTTCCTAGGGATGCATGCCATCAGTACCATAGTGTGGCTGAGCTCCACAGTCTTCTTGTATGCAGCAGGGTTTTAGAAAGGTCCTAACTGGACACTGACAGGCATGGCAACTATGCCAGGAAGGTCTTGACTGCACTATAGTACACAGCTGTGACAACTATGGTCATGGTGTCTTACTTAGTCACAATGTGCCAACACTTTTAGAGTCTCTTGCAGAGAAACTCTTGTAAAAGGTGTCTGAAGAGTATGAAACACTATGGAGATAACGTAACACTGCTAATTATGATAATCAATGTTTTAGAGTAGCAAAGGACATTTTTCTTTCTTACAGCTAAGTTATATTCCTCATATGAGTATCTGTTCAATTTTTCTGGATTCTGTGGAAACAGAGAACACATTCCCTTTTCTGGATATAGGGAGGTCCACTTGTTCTCTGAGAGGAATCACTCTGGCTCCTGTGAGGTTTTATACCTTAGCCATTTGTTCATCTTTAATACTTTCTCCTTGGCCTTTCTGCTCTTTAGTGATAAAACCAAGAATGGAAGAAAATAATCTAGTCCAGATCAGAGAAAGAGGTATCTAAATCATACTTCCTCCTCTCTCTGCATAGCAGGACAGCATTTGCTCTTAATTCATAATGGTAAATCTCATTAACCTTCTCCAATACAATCATCTCTGGGGATTTCCTTTCCTCTTTGAAGCTAGCATCACTTGAGTTTAGTTTATTTGCTGGCATACAAGTTTGACACTCTTTTCTACCTGTTTGTTCTATACACTGCCTATGGATTCTGGAAGCACAGAGGAACAAGAGTAATAGAGTTAGATAGGATCTGGGCACATGTGCACAGAATAGGACAGCAACTTTGTTCTCTTTTTTTTTAATTTTTATTTTATTCATATGTGCATACAATGTTTGGGTCATTTCTCCCCTGCCCCCCGCCCTGCTCCCTCCCTTACCTCTCACTACCCAGCAGAAACTATTCAACTATTCTGCCCTTTTCTCTAATTTTGTTGAAGAGAGAGCATAAGCAATAATAGGAAGGAACAAGGGTTTTTGCTAGTTGAGATAAGGATAGCTATACAGGGAGTTGACTCGCATTGATTTCCTGTACGTGTGTGTTACCTTCTAAGTTAATTCTTCTTGAACTAATCTTTTCTCTAGTTCTTGGTTCCCTTCTCCTATTGGCTTCAGTTGCTTTAAAGTACCTGCTTTAGTTTCTCTGTGTTGAGGGCAACAAATGCTATTAGTTTTTTAGGTGTCTTACCTATCCTCATACTTCCCTTGTGTGCTCCCGCTTTATCATGTGATCAAAGCTCAATCCCCTTGCTGTGTTTGCCCTTGATCTAATAGGACAGCAACTCTGAAGAGACTCAAGAGAAGAAGTGGCAGAACTCAGAACATCCAGCTCACCAGTCACAGTACCCAGGCCACTGTCACATGGAGGAGAGGCAGCATCTACTAACACCACTGCCTTCTAATATTATATGGTGCTTAAGACAATGAGAAACAATTCCTTCCACACAAGTAGTTGTATACCTATCATGGGAATGGGATGAGAACAAGAGACACCCTAAGTTTCAAATAAAATGTTGTGAAAGGGATTATTAAAAAATACACACCTGACTGAAACAATGACTGACAAAAATGCAAAAAATGTAGTTTCTGGACCTGCAAAAGCTTGGAAAACCACAGAATTCTCATACAGTCCTCTAGAAGAAAAAGGGAGTGAAAAAACTGCCTACAGTTTGGAAAGATCTTTTTAAGCAGAAGACAGACACACAAAGTGACAAGGTGCTTTGTCTGGGCCCCAGTTTGTTCCATCCTAGTTCATGGACCGTTGACTTCTGATCACTACTCCTCAGAGAAGAACTGCTCAAAATGTGCAGTTTCATGTGCTGGAGCACATGAAAACAGGTAAGTGTACCCTCCTTGTGTCTATCAAGGGAGTGCAAGTTTTCCTGCATTAGTTTTTATTCACTTTATCTCCACTATTCCACACAGGTGGCATTCGAACTCATTCATACCTCAGTTGCTCAATATTTCAGGATGACTTCCTAGCTCCAGCCCTCACTTAGACCTGACCCCAGCCCTGGTCTATGCTAACATCTACTACAGCCATAGACTTGTGTACTGTTGTACTTACTGTCTGTTCTCAACCTGGTGGTCATCGAGAGTTTTTGGAAACATAAACTGGATTATGTCACATGTGGCACACACAGAGGTATAGCATGTGTCCTTCCTACAACCTGCAAAGCCTTGTGTAGCCTGGTCCTGGCATGGCTCCAGCCTCCTCCCCTTCAATACTTCCTCTGCCTCTGACTACTCCTTCTTTAAACACACCTTTTCCAACCTTTAGCCCCACCAAGGCTTTTGCAACTACTGTTTCTTCTACCGGGAAGTTCTTCCCTCAGAATTCCTCCATGGCTCTTCCCTTCCTTCACTCAGGGGTCTGCTGAGAAAGGCCTTTCCAGACATCTCATGAAAATAACTCCCCTGACCTCCATGCTGGACACTGCCCATCTACTCAAGACTCTATCCCCTTCCCAGCATCACATTTTTTCTTAGTATTTAATATACCTGTAATTTATATGTTTATTATGGCTTAGTCCCATGAGGATATAACCCTCATGAGGGTAGGAACCTTGTCTATTTAGTTCACCACTATATCATTAGAGCAAACACTCAAGTGTTAGTTACTAGATGGAAAGGAAGGAGACAGGGAGGGAGGGAGGGAGAGAGGAAGAAAGAGGGAACAAAGAGAGAAGGGAGAAATGGAAGAGACAGGCAGAGAAGTGGGGAAGGAAAGGAAGCAAGGGCTCATCTAACATTTAAATATACAAGAAAATGTCCAAGAAGCAGACCACACTACTATTTTTAGTGAGTACTTTCAACTATTTTTATATTTTTATTATTTTATATTGTTACCTGGAAATCTCTAAATTATTAAAAAACAAAGTAAAACTGCTTAATTTTAACTTCCAAAATTAAAAGATTATCAAAACATTAGTATATTATGCAGAACTCAGTTTTCAAAGGAAAAAAATTAAGAAAAAAATTGATACAACTGTGGTGTTGAGAGCATTTATCTCAATTGAAAGCATACTAGCATCTCATTATTTTCACTAACACTGATGCAGCACTTTGTTTAAATCATATTGTCCATCATTGTAATATTTATAACTCTAACAACTGCTTAACTCTGACAAATAATGCTAATTTAAAATTCCAAGATGTAAATGGAGAGTGAAGGAGGGTGAATATGGTCAAAGTACTCTGTATATGTGTATGAAAATTGAACAATGAAACCTCCTGAAATTATTTTAAGAAGCGAGTAGAGGGGATGAGGAAGAATGATAGAGGGAGTAAATCTAATTAAGATACACTGTAAGCACATATGTAAATGTCACAATGAAACTAATATATGCTGATAAAAAATACAATTAAATTAAAAATAAAAATTAGACAACCAAAAATGAGAGGCTGGAACAGATAGTCTAATAAACTGTAAAACAGTTTTTTAAAAAGTTCAAGAAAGATGACACTGGAATTTACATATTCATATCATCATTTTGATATTTGTTGTTTCTATATTTGTGAACTTTTTGCAAGAAAGAGTTCTCTGGGCCCACCATTCCCTCATCTTTGAAAGAAAAGGGCTGACATGGTGGCCAAAAGGTACTGCCAACTCAGCCCTGCCTCAATTCCCACCAACTGCAGACGAACTCCTTGCAAAACACTGATTGTGCTGAGTCCAGAGCACCCAAAAGACCATCCTGGTGATGGAAGAACTTCCAATGCAAAAGGATGCCACCAGCATAGGGCCTTAGTGGCTTGAGGGGCCTGGGATCCGAGGCACAAGAGCACTTCAGGAGATGCTGACAGGTCAGGTGGGCAGTGAAGAGAAAGGAGAACACCCAGGACAGACATATATAGACCTGTTTAAGACAGAACTGAGAGGCAGCCTCTTCTAGACATGAAGAGAGGAGAGGAGAATAAAGTGACCCCAAGGCTGTCTGGTCTATTAATGAGAACACTGCAAACGCCTCACAAGACTGAGTTATGTAGTGACATTCAATATGGAAAAACAGCATGAAAAAATAACACTGTACTTTTAGGGATATAATTAACAGAAAAATGCAAAAAAAAAAAGGAGATACTTTGTACTTTTAGTTATGACACTGTATTTTTAACTGCACTTTACATTAGTCACTGATAATTTATCATATAAAATAGCTTTTTTTTCCAAAGTGAATTTAAAACAAGTTGAAGCAGCAATAGTCAGTTTATAGAATTTCAGAACAATGAACACTCTCCTGAGCTTATAAAGAAGGGTAGGAGGCCTACTAAGCAAGTGCAAAGTCCTTGAGTTTAAACCCCAGTACCACCAAAATAAATAAATAAAAATGATATTATAAAATATCACACTGCTTTTCCACAAAACTATGGTGACAGTTTAAAATGGAAAAATCTATTAAGTAATATGATTACTTATTCTTAGTTCAAGAATATTTTTTAAATGATGATAAAAAGTTATTAAAGTACTGGGTCCTTACCTTTTTCATGATTCACAGAAACTTATAAAAAAGACTGATTATCTTCCTATTGTTAACTTTGTAAAGCAATTAAATGGAAGCCTTAACATTTTAATTATGTTGGAAATCAGAAACATGTTTTACAATGTTAATTAATTTGAAATAAACTTACCATGTTTTTTTATTCATTGTAAGCTCCATTATCATGCGCCTAAAAATAATCAAAACAGCTTTACAGGCATCAACTTGTTCCTTCAAGAGCATGGGAACTTCAGCACATGGTTCCAGCAAAAAGACATTTGCAGCATTTGTTAGAAAGACCTTCAAGTCAATAATGTTACATTAGAAAATATAATCAATCATATATATCTGAGCAAATCTTGTCTAAGGATAGCAATATTATCCAATGACTCTCTTTTGGGTTATTTCCACATTATATTTCAGTATAGCAAGTGGCATCAACACATAGTTTAGTTTACCCCTTAGAATCACTTAAAGATACCTAAAAGGCCTTTTCCTAGGGAGGAGATTATTATTACATATAAATAGTGCACCTTTAGTGAGAAGTCATAAAAGATTTGAAGACTTGTTTTTGACAACTCCTCAACAAAGGAAAAAGGGAGGAAATAAAATAGGATCATCGTGTCTGGGTGATAAACTTTGGGGTGGAGAAGGCCCATGGCTAGTCAACAAAAGTATGAGGTAACTATGTGACTTTGAATCTTCCAGCACATGGACTCTTCCTTCCTGATAGTGCATGGCCAGCACCACCCAAAAGGGCTGAGGGCATCAACTGAAGAGCAGTGGTGTACCCAGAAATAAAGTCATATGATTCACACTGCACATCCTTCGAGAGCATGATTCCTCTTTTTTTGTCTCCCCCCTCTCAAAAAAAAAAGTAGTACTGGGGTTTAAACTCAGAGCCTGGCACTTGCTAAGCAGGTGCTCTATCACTTGAGCCACACCTCTATCCCCTTTTGTGCTGGTTATTTTATAAGATAGGGTTTCACATTACGCCCAAGCTGGCCTGAATCCAAATCCTCCTATTTGTGCTTCCCCAAGAAGCTGGGGATGACATGTGTACCTATCATGCTCCAGCTTTTTATTGTTTGAGATAGGGGTCACGCAAACTTTTTGCAGGGCTAACTAGAACTGCAATCCTCCCAATCTCTGCCTCCCACACAGCTAGGTTTACCAGCTTGAGTCATCATGCCTGCCTTCCCAGAACATAAGTTTTTAAAAGGAAAAATGTATTATGCAATAGGATATAAACTCTAAGTGAATTCTTAAGATAGAAAGAGTTCACAAAAAAATTTTTTAGATAATCAGCTAACTACTTTATGCTCTGCCCCAGATCTCTGGGGTCCAAGTTCACTGTCATCAGGGGTACCTCGGTGGAAAAATGTGAGATGCACTGATCCAAGCTGACTACAGTAATTTACTGCTTAGGGTCACTACAATAAAAGAATGTTTTATCATTCACACAGATGACACTAGTTGCCCACCAACTCCTGATTTTCTGAGTTGTCAATCTGGTGACGAAGATGGATCAACTTCATCAAGCTAAAAATACAATCTTTCTTACATCTTCTTTGTGTTCAATAGTAGAAACATAAAAGATCTAGGAGCAAACAGAGCTCCTCTGGATCATTAGTGGATGAAATTGCAAAATAAATGTATTAGATTAACTAGACAGATTTAAATTAACATGCTTAGCCGGGAGCTGGTGGCTCACCTGTAATCCTAGCTACTCAGGAGGGATCAGGAGGATCACACTTTGAAGTCAGCCTGGGCAAACAGTTCATGAGACCCTATCTCAAAAAAAAAAAAAAAAAAGAAACAAACAAACAAAAAACAAAAAAACCCATCACAAAAAAGGATTGGTGGAATGGTTCAAGGTGTAGGCCCTGAGTTCAAGCCCCAGTATGGCCAAACAACAACAACAACAACAAAAAATCAAACATGCTCAAGCAGGTAAACTAAAATGTTGACAGTCTCTAAGGTTATCTTCTATAAGATGAAAAAGGTATCATGCCCCAACCTTGCAGGAAAAAAATCACTAAGCACTATAACAGCTGATAACAGGTGATACCATCAATGTGAAGAATTTACTAATCTTCAAGTAGGAAAAAAAGAAAACAAAATTTTGAATAACAAGTAACAATAGTTTTAGTGTAGTTTTAATGACTGTTTTTAAAAGAATACCACAAATAACATGTTGTGATACAAATCCTTTTAATTCAATATATTGAGCTTCTTGAATTTGAAACTTTTGCACATTCCCAATTAAAACCAAGTAAAGGACCAAGGTGTTGGATACAATGAGAACAAAAACAACTATTTAAATCCTATGTAAAACATTTTAAAGCTGTAGAGCTTATGAGAAGGTAGTCCACTCAGAGGAAGAGAACTACCAAGGAAGAAGGACTCCTCCAAGTTTTCTGTACTGAAGAGCTGCATCAAAGTTCTCTGAAACTGCACAAGTAAAATCATATTGATATTTTTTAAAGTTAATTTTATGGGTGCCAGTGGCTCACACCTGTAATCCTAGCTACTCTGGAGGCAGAGATCAGGAGTGGATTATAATTCAAAGCTTGTCCAGGCATATAGTTCAAGAAACCCTATCTCGAAAATACCCAACACAAAAAAGGGTTGGCAAAGTGGCTCAGGTGGTAGAGTGCCTGCCTAGCAAGCATGAGGCCCTGAATTCAAGCCCCAGTACCATTAAAAAAAAAAGTTAACTTCAAATTATTTTATTTTTAATGAAAATTGAGACAATACATGAGTCTTATATATTAAACAGCTAATTAACTTGAAATGATAATGAATCCTATCAAGAGATAGACAAAAGCAAAAGCATCACTGAAAACTGGGTAATATGCATGCCATTCCCATGCTTCCTTGAGACTCAACACCTGGCCTCTATATGGGAGTCTTCACTGGACACAGTTATTAACTCAGATGTGAGGTGGGATTTGGAGGCCAGGGAACAGGGGAATGAGATGCACCCTGTGTTTTCACTTATATTCCTAACAACTTCAAGTCAGATAGGACTGAGAAGTCATCTTCCAATTCCCATTTTTAAGATAAAATCCTAAGGTCTGGGGAGGTTAAGTTACAAACCAAAGTTGCTCTTTCCAAAGTTCCCAAGAGTTATCAATTCTATTTCACAGACTCATTCACAGTAATAAAAATTACTACATTAGTCATTGTTCTTTATAAACATGGGCAATTTTTAAGAATAATATTACTAATAAGTTTATATCATCATCAAGTAGAGTCCAAGTAACTACTTGTATATGTTCAGAAGATACTTTTAAAATGTAAATCTCAGACATTTCACATTCACTGTGCAGTAATTCCTTAAAAAAAAACTGCAATCAGTTCTTACATCTTTCTTTGGCCAGAAAAAAAAAAATCTTTACCAATTTTAGGTAAGAAAATTTTAGGAAGAAAACAAACTGACAATTTAAGAGCTATTTATGGTCAATGGATAAAAATATCACTATACTTTATGTGGCATTATCACCATTAAACAAATGTTCAAAATGACTTCTCCAGTGGGCTGGGTGGGGGTCCTTGTGTTCTGGCTGGCAGCATACCTGTAGCATAGCCTGGACCCCGGCTTTCACATTTGCATTGTCCTCCTCTGTCACACACCCTCTGTTCATGGCACTTGTGAAGGAGTATGTGCGTCCCCAACTAGAAGATCGCTTATGACCTGATCTTTCAGATGAGGCCTTTAAAAGATAACAGCCTGTTAACAGTGAGAAGTATATGCTTGCACATTTTAATTCCTTGCACTCACCAGAATTCACAAGAAAACAGGTTCTAAGCGGGCACCTATTTTCACTATTTGCTCACCACTCTACCTACAGCACCTAAAGCAATACATATCACTTAGTGTGTGCTGAAGCAGTAAGCTGTTTGTCGAATCCCTGGGGAGCCTGAAATATAGGCCGCTAAGACACATGAATGTTTTGCTTACCTATTTATTTTGACCTCAAGAGTCCTTATTAAAATGATTTCACTAATATTGGAAAATTGAAATTATGGAATGACTATAGATCTTTTAAATAGTCTATAGTGAAGAATTTTAAACATTTGAAATAAATTTCAAAATAGCACACCAGGAGTATAAATATGATTTAAGTTTCTTTTTTGTTTCAGGAGGGAGCTCCACTGTCATTTTAGATTTATCCAACTTGTAGCTTTATCTAACGTGCCCCCTCCAGGAAGACATCACTTAACACTGCAGAAAGTACAGATAACACTTGATGTTTACTTGGCTAGTTCATCCAAAGGCTTAATATCCAAATGCTTCTGGGACAGTGTACTGCAAAAAAAGTCTGCCAAAACATTCTAAATTTAGTTTCTCCAACTGCTATTTATTTAAACAAGTCAAGGAGTAGACAGTGAGTGACATTTTTAGTCTCACAGAGAGAAGTATAAAGAACAAAGGCTTATTAAACAACTCTCATGCAGTAGTGACTAAGATCCTATATTCATATGGCCCTGGCCTAAGGGTTGGGAGATAACTGCCAATCTAGAACACAGCACTGAAGATGTCTCCAGTGAGGCAAGTTCTCACAGAACCCATGATTTCAGAGCATCACATAAGTTTAAAAGAGATCTTCCTGCTTGCATCCCACTAAGTGGGACCCTTGACTGAGTAGGTACACTTTGCTAAAGTATATATACTCCCAACTCAGAGGACAAGTGATATGATTACCTCCTTGTTATCAGTTTCTGAAAATCCCAATTTTTCAGCATCTTCTTGGGCAGTATCTTTTTTATCTGGTTCCTCCATGAACACAGGTTTGTCTTGGAGGATCCACTTTCTGTACACTTGAACTACTTTTCTTGTTACAGCAATCTCACAGGAAGGCAACAAGAATGCCTGAAAAAAAGGAGAAAACTCCTGAAGAACAACATAAGAGACATTTCTAGCGAACTCACAGATTGCAGAAAACATAGTTTGTATATATACTCTACAAGGCACAGGCTTTTGTATACACTGAGGTAAAGAAAAAAAGACATCCTCAAAATTGGGCCAGAAAACATAATGCAGTTTAAAAATAACATCTATACTCTGAATAATTTTTCTATAACACTAATCATGCCTACACGGGTATTTTAAGTGTCTATATAAAGCAATTATAATTATATAACTTGGAACTTTTCCCAGGAGATCAGAAACAGGTTTTAAGATAATAGACTGCTACAGCCAATGGTAACCAGCTGTGGCCATCCCTTCTAAACTCTGTGTTCTGGGATAGGCATGTTGGTGTCTTAAATCAGCCATGGTGGGAGTACTTACAACACAGAAACTGGCATCAGCTACAAATCGGGTTTGTCTGTTTTTTGACTTTTCCTTGTTGCTCCCTCCTTCCCTCTTTCTGTCTTTCATTTCTTCCAATATTTACCAGAATACCAGTAAGTATAGCCACATGTTAACAAGAGTCACTGGCCACCTCAACTGAGCTGTGTAATATGCACGTGGAAATTTAAAATTTTTGTTTTTGAAATTTCTTTTGATTTTATTTATACTTTTATTCATTTATTGACTATGCTTGGTCAAAACTGTGTATAACAAATCCCTGAACAAGGCAGGCTACTTTACAAAATAATAAAAATAGACAAGATAAACTTTGAGACTAAAAATAAAACATTATAGCAATAAAGTGATAAAGCATCTTAATGATAAAAGATTCAATTTGGAAGAACACATAATAAATCTAAATTCATGCTGCTGTTACCTAGGGAGAACCTAAGTACACTATCTAGCTCCTCTTGCTTTTAATTAATTTTAAAAATCATTAATTTTTGATGTCATACAGATGAGCAATGTATTTTTAATTTCCTGCTAGCTTTGCTGTAGATGATATGGCTGCCTGAAGCCACCTAGCAGGTTAAAACTTTTTTTCTGTAAAAAGCTGTATTTCACCCTCTTGTCCGGCAAAAGTTTTTTTTCATTTTTTTCTTTTGTCTTTCCCTATTCTCTGGAGATAGTTACCTTTGGCTCTCTTCCTGTTTTCCAATGAAAGATGCCTTTTGTATCTGAATAATTAACTGTAGTTAGGAGCTCCAGGGAAAAGGAATTAAAGTGATATGAGACATAAAACTTTCTAATCACTAGCTTTTCCTTAGATTTACATAACCCAGAATCTCCAGTGACTTACAGATAACTAGCCTGGACATCAGAAAAGCAGACCATGCAAAGTTTGTATTGTCGTTTTACCTGCTTATCTGATAAGCCTCTCAAAAAATGCCTATATATAAAAAGTCTTGCATCTGCAACCTCTAAGCAAGAATGGCTTTTTTTTTTTTTTTTTTGAGTCTCTATCTTTCAACTTTCCACCTTGTTACCAATAAAGCTCTTTCTTCTCTCATCACCATGTCTGTCTCACAAAGGTTTGTCTTCATTAGGCAGCAGTAGAACTAGACCTTTTGCAGTAACACTGCAATAATAGTTTTCCAAAAATATAGCAAATTGCTGATCAACTTTTAAGAAAAAAATAAGCAAATCCACAGCATAGCAGGTTATTCTCAGACAATGGAGAGCAAACAAAAAAAGAATGAATCTAGAGAAGTAAGTAAGTATATGAGGCTTCTCCCTAGACCCTCCATGTCCAACTTCATTGGTCTCATCTCAATCTCTGAGATAGATTCAGGATCATTTCTTCATCTAGTTCATTCTCTCTAGCAATATCTAATCTCCATTAAAATTATGCATTGAGGTTTTCTTTTAACATTCTAATTACCAGGACTTTTTTTAATCCTTTGGTGGTGGTGGTGGGGAGGAAGTAGTGGGGTTTGAATTCAGGCCTCATGCTTGCTAGGCAAGTGCTCTACCACTCGAGCCACACCTCTAGCCCTTTTTGCTTTAGTTATTTTTTCATATAGGGTCTTACTTCATGCTTTTTGCATGATCTGGCCTTGGACCTTGACCATTCTACCTATGCCTCACATGTAGCTAGGATTACAGACATTGACTACCATGTCCAGCTTGTTCTTTAAGATTCAGTCTTGCTAACTTCTTTGCTCACACTGGCCTCAAACTGCAATCCTCCTATCCCCACCTCCAAAGTATCTGGGATAATACCCATGAGCCACCATGTCTGCCTGACCCTCCCTTTTTTTTTCATTTCCAAAGTTCTATTTTTCCTATCCAAATGTACATTGGAAATCTGTTATAATTTCTTGTTTATTGTAAACATTTTCAAGCTTGTCTTTTATTTCTTTTAAAATGTTAAAACTATTACTTTAAAAACCAGAAAAAATAAAATGTTAAACCTATTCATTCTAAAGTTTCAATTGTATAACTCAAGTCCTCATGAGGTTTTTCTTGTTTCTGATTTGTTTTTCTAGAAAGGTTCTGACTTACAAATTCCAAAGTGGAAGAAAGAGTGACCTAAGATTATTATGCCCAGCTAAGCTGTTGATCCTTTCTTACCCAGCTCTTCTCTGCAGGTCTCTTATTTAGCTAGCTAACCAGGCCAGCAGCCATATATGCCCACATAGATCCACCTAGACTGATGCTCTTCTAACATTAACAGTGGTCACAGGTGGTGATACTTTGAGTGATTTGCTTCTACTTTATCCTCCATAATTATAGGCATGGATTGTGTTTATCTAATGAATATATTTTCATTTTTTATTGTTGTGCTGGGGGTACATTGTGATTACAAAGTATATCACAGTTGAATTCACCTCCACCATCAATCTCCTTTATCCTCCCTACCCTCATTCCTGGGATAGTTTCAGTAGGTCTCATTTTTTTCATTTACATACATGTGTATACAATACTGCATAATATCCACCCTCCTGCACCTGATCCCCACATCCCCCCCACACACTGGTACCAACCCCCTGGCAGGACTTGTTCTGTGTTTTTGTAAAAAATAAGATGATATTTTTGTTTGTTGAAGATCAGCTATACAGGGAATTTCCTTGTTACATTTCCATGTATATACGTGTGTTTAATGAACATATCTGAAATTAAAACCAACCAATAAAACAATGGACATCCTACAGAGAAATACTTAATTGCTTAGATCATAACATAACAGTTATACTACATAAGGATATAAATATTGATATATAGAGTATTATACATACTTTAAATCAGAAGTTTTAAATCCTTAAAACATGAAGTACACTGAAATGTTTGATCTGTTCTATTTTATTGTTTATTAAGAAATAATTTTTTTACTAAATTGATTTCATGACCTATACAAGTGGGTCACAACAGGTAATTAAAAAAACTCCAGTTAGAAGACAATTTTCCAGTGGCGGCACCCACTTACCAGAATTGCTTACCCTAAAGCACTTCTCGTTGCTTGGCCTTCCTCCTAGGGCTAGCAGAGGTTGCCCTGAACCTTGCTCAATTTGTCTTTCTTTGATTGTTGTCTATTTCTACTACCTTCAGTTCGCTGAAGCATCCAATCCAGTGTGACTTGCACCACCCGGTGCTTTAGCCTCTGTCACAAGTCTCCCTGCTGACCTGGCCCCTTGTCAGTATTTATTCCCATGTCACACACAGACATCTGATCTTTCACCATCTCACAATGTTCTCTGTAGCATACTCACATGTCTTATCTTCCAACTAAGAATGTTTATATCTTGAATGTCCAATTTACACTTTAATAACCTTTAGGCTTTTATAGTCCCTGAATATCTTCACTTAAAATTAAGAAGATTATAAAAGAAATCAGATTGTGTTTTCCATATAAAAGAATTCATCATTGACCAAGCAAGGGCAATAAAGTGCAATATAGAAACCCACTCAGAGTTCTTAAGGCTATAACTTACAGCTTCTCCAAAGCAGCACTACTGACATGTGGGACTGGATGGTTCTTTGTCATGGCAGAGATAAGGAGGAGACCTTTCTGTGTGCTACAGAGTATTTAGCAACACGTTGACTGCTACCCATTAGATGTCAGTAGCTCCCCGAGTTGTCTCCAGACATTGCTCATGTTCCCCTAGGGGCAACATCCGCCCTGGCTGCAAATCTGATGTGGAATTAGCAGCCTAGGCCTCTACTCTCTTCTGTCTCCTTCCTTTGCTCAGGTCTCTTTTCTTGTTCACATTTCTGGTCTCCCTAGTACCTTTCTATTTACTACAGTTTTCCATCAGAGGTCTGTTATTTAATATTTCATCTCCTTTTATTCGCCTCCCCACCCACTTTTTTTTTCTCTTGTGCCATAAATATATCTATCATATGTGCATGCCATATGCCTTTGCAGGGAAAGTAAAACTTTTTGCAGGAATGTCTGGTCATGTCAGAGAGCTCTGGGGCTGTGGGAACAACAGCAGTCTCTTTGTTCTAGACTCACTTGTTGCTGGATACTCAGGAATGGCCTGATCCCAGTTTGGCACTATTGGGAAGTGTAGAAACATTAAGAGGTGAGGCCTAACGGGAAGCTGTAAGTCATCAGGTGCTTGCTATTAGTTGTGTGAAATTATCTATTCCTCTTCCTTTTTCACACTCAACACGAGGCCTCCTTTCCCTCAGATTCTTGCCATAATGTACTGTACTGCCACAGGTCCAAAGGAATGGAGTCAATTGTTCAGAGACTGAAACCTTCAAAACTGTGAGCCAAAAAAACCTTTCCTCTTTTTAAGTTGGTGTATCTCAGATATTTGGCAGAGTAATGGAAAACTAACACAAACAAGAACAAAAACTCTCTTCAATTTTGTGAATTTGTAACACACACACTGACCTGTCGAAATATTTCATTCACAAAATTGACATAACCTCGTGTTGACAAAAGAATCCGTTGCACCATCTCATACACTGTTCGGTGTTCTTCTTCAATGCTACAAAGGCTGGAGTTGCTGAGTCTTCGGTCAGACAAGGTGCTACTGTTAGAATGGTTCTTCTCCTGCTCTGTGGATCCACCGCCATCCAGCTCTGGTACCCTTTCTTGCACTGTACCACCACCAACGGTCTGGAAAAAAGTCATTAAACTTCTCAAATATCCACATCCACACACAAGAGCACCTAGCAAGACTTGAGTCTTGCCCTTTTTTTGTTTATTTGTTTGTTTGCTTTTTGGATTTTGGAAGGAGGTAGTTGGTACTGGGGATTAAACACAGGGCCTTACACATGCTGAGCATATAGTCTATCACTGAGCTACACCCCAGCCCCAGGTCTTGCCTAGATTCAAAGTACTCTGATTGCCACCAAATTGAATAGGGTACAGAAAGCTGAAAACCAATAACTGCTTGAAGCACAAGCTCCAGAACCTATTCTTACCAATTTTCCAATTAACTAACTAATCTTCCTCAACTCAAGTTATTTTAACAGGAAAATCACTGTTATTTCAGGGAAAAGGGCAATGAAATTTTATTATCTAAGAAGTTTAATTTGCATATATAAAAACACAAATATTAATGTGAAAATATGTGTGTATTATCATCACACTAGGTCTCCACACATCAGCATTTACTCTATGGTCACAGAGATTTAAAATTTCAGGGGACTTTATAGTAACAACATTGGTATGCATCATGTAATTCTTAAGTCCAAGTGGCCAGCATCAAGCCTAGGCCCAAGAGGCTGACAGTTAACAACTGTCATCTCTTGAATCATTTTGTTCTTGGATCCCTGAGCAGTGGAGTAAAAAGCCCAACTACCTTGCTAGTGAGACAGCATGGAAAGAAGTCCCATAAGGGCCCAGCCTGTCTGAAATAACAGGTATGTGAATGAAGCCATCTCATATCCTCCAGACCAATCAGCTGCCAACTGAAGGTTGTCATCCAGTGACCCTAGTTAATGCCACACGAAGCATGCAAGAATTGCCCAACCAAATCCTGCACACAAAAGTGAAAGACAATGATATGATAAAAGGGTTGCTGTTTTAAGCTACTAAATTTTAAAGTTGTTTGTAATATGGCAATACAACTAAAATAGCATACATAAAGAATTATGCTTAAAGGCATCAAGTCACTTAAAATAAGCTCTAATAAATAGAATACAATGATAGCATAAGTGGATTGTTCATCCTGCCATAAAATGCAAACTATTTCTCTTTTTAAAATATTTTTCTTAACTTTGTCTAGCCCCTATTCAAAGACTGCTTTCTAAAAACAGCCATAATTGGCAGACACTCATAACTACAGTAAGTGATGAGACCGAAAACAAACTGAACATTCAAGTCTACTCATTTCTCATCTCTTTGCAAAGATTAATAATAAGACCATGAATAGGAATTAGTACCAGAGGCAAGTCCATTTTCTGCCCACTAAAATTCCAGCTGAAATTCTCAGCTGATATGTAGTATTAGTTGATTCTGATGGTCAATGCAAACATGACTTTTACTCCATTAGCATGTAAAGAAGCCTTAATCAGTGAAAGAGACATACCTATTCAGACTAGGACTGCATAGTTAAGAGCTCAGGAAATTGCACGATACAGACAATTACTTATCTCTCCCCTCAAACCTCTTTGCCAACCTCATATCCTCTCAACCTCATAGCTCATTCTCAGGGTCAGTCTAAGTGTGTCTACAAACAAACCAACTGTTAAGAAGATGATGCGAGTACTCTATTGATGATGCCTGGTGCCATTCAATTCCTTTGACTCGATTTGCCTACATGGTTAAGGACAGCCTATGTTTGCCTTTGTGGAATTTAAGAACAATAGAGAATATTGGAGCAGTAGTCAATGACAAATGTACAAATTCCTATAGACTTGTTAGTTTGTATGGTTCACTGTTTCTGTTCATCACATGAACTACAATTCAAGAAAGTCACAGCTCACAGGTCATTATGAAGTGTGTGGTCAGAAATAGTAAAAGTGCTATTTTGTTAATGAAACTGAAGCGTTATCATGGAAATAAACAGGGCCAACTGTTCTGTCATCTCAAACTTTCTTTTTCATTCACTAATGGACTTCTTTGGGTTTTAATGTTTAACTAATGTGCATACAGAACTGATAAAAACCAGCTGCTGCTGAAATGTTAAAATCACCAGGACATCTATGTCATATAAACATGAATTGCAACCAAGTATGGTAACACATGCCTGATTTCAAGGATGGTCTTACAAGAGTAGCATATCGTTTGAGAAGTGGTAGTCCCAGCTACCTCTTGGAAGGCTAAGGCAGGAAGATCGTGAATTTGAAGCCAGCCTGGGCTACATACCAAGATCCTGTGTAAATAAATTAAAAAAAACAAAACAAAACTGGAGACATGGCTCAAGCAGTAGAGTGCCAGCTAGCAAGTCTGAGTTCAAACCTCAGTATTGCCAAAAAAATTTTTAAAAAATAAGAAAAGAATTTCTAAGGATTAAGAGATTACTAAAACCATCTTCTGCTAAAATGATGCATCAACAATATGCAGATTTAATGGAGAGATCAGTTGTTGCTGCAACATATTATGGAATGTACAAGTGACTGTATTTCCATTTTTCCATGAATGATGCCACTTTCTATGGTTTGAATCTTGAATGTCCCCCTAAATGCCCATGTATCAAGGACCTGGTCCCCAACCTGAGGCACTATTTTGGAAGTGCTGGGACCTCTAAGATATAGGGGCCAGTGTTAGGAGGTTAGGTCACTGAAGGTCACATTCTGTGCCCTTTCCTGTTTCTCTCTTTTACTTCCTGGGCACCATGAGAACAGGCCTCCTCTGCCAAGCACTTCTGCCATGATGTTCTGCCTTGTCACAGGTACAAAGCAACAGGACCAAGCCTACATGAACTAAGTCCTCTGAAATCATGAGCCAACACAAAATTTTTTTCCTTTTAAGTTGACTATCTCAGGTTTTTGATCCCAGTAACAAAAGCTTACTAATGCACTTGTGTGTGTGGAGTGGGGGAATCTGTTAAACCAGATTTGCTTAGTGGTACTAGTGGTAAGCAAGCTAGGTCTAGAAGGTAACTAATTCTTCTCTCCCTTGTGAAAAATACTGTGAAAGGTATTAGTATTTTTATTTTATTTCGGGAAATAAAAAAACATGAAACACCCCAAATATGACCTTAACAAGAAAGTGACAAAACTGAGAGCTCTATTTTGAAGCAATACGTAAAATATTTTTAAAGGTCTTTTACAAGAGCCACGTATTCTTTGAAAAGAGGTTTTTGATTAACTGATTCAGACAATAATGCTCACTTTAGTTGGGTAAAATTTTACCAAATTTTAAATTCCAAACAAAACTTTGAGGAGACAAATATAATCAGCAATCTATTTCTAAAATTTTAATAGTCCATGTTTAAACTGTGGCTTTTTTCAAGAATCAACAAATGAAAGTACATCAAATTAAAAAGCTTCTGCACAGCAAAGGAAATTATCAACAAAGTGAAGAAACAACCTATAAAATGGGAGAAAATCTTTGCTTCCTACTCATCCAACAGAAGATTAATAGCCAAAGTATATAAAGAACTCAAAAAAAATTAAAAAGTAAGCAATCCAATTTAAAGTGGGCAAATGACCTGCATAGATAGTTCTCTTTTTCTTTGGTAGTACTAGAGATCAAACTCAGGGCCTTGGGCTTGCTAGGCAAGTGCTTTACCACTTGAGCCATGCCCCCAGTTCTTGTTACTTTTCTAAAAAAGAAATACAAATGACCAATAAATTTACAAAAAAATACTCAATATTTTTAGTCATCATGGAAATGCAAATCAAAAATTTAATGACAATCCATTTCACCCCAGTTTTAACAATGGCTATCATCAAAATAAGTAAGAAACGCTGGCAAGAATGTGGAGAAAAAGGAACTCTAATACACTATCGACAGGAATGTAAATTAGTACAGCCACTATTTAAAAAGAAGATTCCTAAAAAATTAAAAACAGAACTACTCTATGATGTAACCATCTCATTTCCAGGAATATATTTGAAGGAGGTGAAGTCAGCATGCAAGAGAGATTATCTGCATGCTCGTGTTTATTGTGGCACTATTCACAATAGCCAAGATATGGAATCAGCATGGTGCTGATCCAACAGGTAAATGGATAAAGAAAATATAGAGCATATACAGTTTCTCTCTTATGTAGAAACTACAAATATGAATAAGAAATAATAAAAGAAAAAAGAAAAAGAAAGATGACCTGAAAGTAGAAGAGAGGCTATTAGGGATTAGAAAGGGGCTAAGGGGGCAAGGGAGGGAAAAGGAGAGGGAAAAAATAGAAGGGTAGATGGACATGAAGCCTAGTATACATGTATGGACATACTGCCGTGAATCCTATTAAGTTGTACAATTAATATGTATTTATAATTATAATTTAAAACTGCTTTTTATTCTATATGATATAAATGATATGTGATATAAATGAAAAGTGCAACTCAATAGATACCTGTGAGATGAGGAGGGAAACACACTACTGTAGGAGAGAAAAGACAATACTGGAGACAACGAGATACGGTGAATAAAGACCCTCTCCAAACATGTCCATGTCTCAGTCCCCAGAATCTGTGACTGCATATTAAGAATGTGGGGGTGGGAAGGTTGTCCTGGATTATCCAAATTGACCCAATGTAATCAAGAGGTAAGAGGGAGGCAAAAGGATCAGGGATGGAGGAGATGGCATGACAATAGAAATAGAGGAAGAAAAGGTAATGCAATACAGGGCAATGAGCCAAGGTATGCAGGTGGCTTCCAAAAGTTTGGACAGGGCAAGAAAACAAGATTCTTCCCTAGACCTCCCAATATCTTGATTTTAGCCCACTGACACATTTTGGACTTTTGACATCCAGAACTATGATATAGTAAGTTTGCATTGTTTCAAATCATTAGGTTTATGGCAATTTGCTACAGCAACAATAGGAAACAATCTCTACCCACAGTACAGTCATTGGCAGGGTATGGCAGCAGAGTATGCATGGGTATCTGTCTGCCAGCACCCATTCCCCCTCCATAACAGAGCTTCCAGGGTCTGCCTGTTTCCTCCCATTCAGCCTGGGGCTCACAGAAATCTGAGCCCATACACAATACCAGAGAAAATTCAC